CGGGCAAGCTTTTCACTAAGTCAGTCCATCGAAAGCTTGCGATTGCACGCGTTTTATCAGGGAACACGGTCATCTTTAAGCAAATCTGAAGCGAGCAAAGATTCATCGCTGTACAATGCGTATTGCGCACAGTGACAGACAGGCTCAGGCCATTATCAGCCAAGTCTAATTGAAAACTTGCAAGATCACAAACTACTGACGCGTATCGTTCCTTTGCTGCTCACTGAGACCTGCACAAAGCCTTTGACGCAGCTCACAGGCTTTGTCTGCAATTTCTCTTGCGTTTCCCAACCCGACACTTCTGGTCACCATATTCATAGCGTGATGCTCAATGATCCTTTCCACCAAAGGGTCATAGCCAGGTAGATCTTCAGGCCGACACTGAGACTCGTCGGCCTCTGCCTCCATAATGATGCAGCAATCGTCGGAAAGGTCTTTGCCGCGGCTGCGACTTCTGTCGCGGCAAGAGGATACTGAGGCGCAGGCCATGGTGAGCTGCGACAACAAATTGAGTTCAAGAACAAAAACACACTTGTTCAACATGCGGCATATAAGGTCTTACAGAGTCTACAGTATGCAGGAAGAATACCGTATTGAAAAAATCTGAAGTGGAGTTCTGTTTATAGCCGGACCTGGCCCATATGTAAACTTTGAACTCGGCCCTGCTGCGAAAACCAGGCAGGCTTTAAAAAGACAGGTGGAGCTGACATGTTCAAATTTAGACTTCACCGACTGTGTTGGAGGCTGGGTTGATATGTAGAAATCTCGCAGTCGCTGGATTTGAATCGTTTTTTGCACTCACACTGCGTCTAGAAGATTCAAACTTGGCAAGCTGATTAGCCAGCCAGTCTACTAGTCCACCTCTTCCGCCGGCGCCGCTTCACATTCAACGTCACCGTCATGCTCGAGACCATCTGCTTCTGACTCACCACCTTCTCCGCCTTGTTCATCAGCAGCGACACCGTCCTGAACAGCGACACCATCCTGAGCAGCGACACCGTCGTCCTGAGCAGCGACACCGTCCTGAGCAGCGACACCGTCTTCCTGAGCAGCGACACCATCGTCGCCGCCACCACCAACGCCAGGCGCAGCAGAAGAACGCGTATCATCAGGACGCTCCGCGCCCTGACCAACATCAATCAGGGATTGATTGATTGCGCCAAAAAGGCCAAGTATTTGATGGAACCTATTTCCCGGAGGTCGAGCCTCTAAACGCTTCGCCAAAGTAACTTGAGTGGCCGCCTGGGTCATCTCAACCTCGAAGCTGACCGCAAAAAGAAAGTTAGAAAAACCTTTAGTTTGTTGATTTCAGGACAAATGCGAAATGCGCTAACTTCATAACGCGTTCCAAAAAACACACATGCTCTTCACGTCAGCCAGCGAGGACCTACCTTTCAACTGCTCGATGCCAATGTTGATGATTTCCAGCGCCTTCTCTTTGTCGACATACTTGCCACCTGCCTTAATTAAATGTTCAGTGACGCAACGCAACTAGCAACCACGTCCAATTCATCAGACAACAAACAAACGAAATCAAAGACCTTCTTCCCCTCTACAAGCAATACTTCTTAACACCTGGCCCCGTTTAGGTCTACATCCTTCAATTCCGTTGGCCCATGACAGTGTAACCGTTTATCGCATGAAAGGTGAAAGCTGCAAATACCAGATTCCAACAAGCCACAGTCAAAATTTGCTTCCCATCCTTGTTCTTCACAGTGTATGTGGAGCTCCCCTTATGCCAGCATGGATTGCATATGAAGCCTTGCATTGCGAAAACACACGACATGGTACGCGAATCTTCGTACATCATGGGGGAGGGGCCCAAAGGACTTTCAGCTCACTGGCCAAGAAACTAGCGTCAAAAGCCTCAGGGGTAACGGTAGCAGCAGGCCGACGCAATGCTGAGGGACGCTTCATAATAGGTGGGTCCTGATCCTCAGCACCTACATCCGCCTTTCTCTTCCCAGTCCCCTCTTGCTTCCCTTCATCTTTCTTCTTTGGCAAGGTTAGAGGTTTTGCGCCTGACGGCTTGGCACTGGCTTTGTTCTTGCCCTTCCCCTTGGCTTTCTCCTTCTTCTTCTCAAGTTCCTTCTCGCCAGCGCTAGGGCTTAGTCTCACGGTGGGAGCGTCCTGATTCACACAAATTAAGATGTAGCACTCAAAGAAGAAGGTGTCAAGTTCCACCCTCACTTCACCACATGGTTCAATGTCGCCAAGACTCAGCGTCTGAACCGGACAACTCATCCACCACGTTGCACACGGGCATGAAGGCGGGTCAAGGGCAAGTCGTTTGAATGCCGTTACAGCTCGAGTTTCTGTGAAAAAAATCTGCCGGCGCATTCATTATTCTCGTGGGATACTGTCGGGGGGAAATTGAAAGCATGGCTGTAGTGGGCCCTTTACCTTTAAGCTGCCCAACGGTTCAAAACTCTTTGCTTTCCTGTGTGCGGTACATAGGATCGAACTGCCAGCCACTTGCGACGATCAGCCGTTGATCAGCCACACGAGCGTCAGCCAACAACAGTAACAAATTTAAAATCCAGACTTGAATATTCGATGCTGGACCAGCGCAACAGTAACAGTGAATTTAAAACTGATTGTTGAATTGAGAAGTGCGTTGGACCAACAATCTGGAGACAAATTTGGCCGCACACCGTGGCTGAAGAACACTCGTGCTTAGAACGTCGCCCATGGACCGAAAAATTGAACTTGAAAGTTTGGCGACCACACTTGGGTCAGGCACGCTACAGCTCCCAAATCCGCAGCAGATCGAATGGGAAGTTGCCTTTGAAGTTCCAGGCGCTTTGCGATCTGAGCCTCACCAACCACGGAAGCAGGAGCCGCAGGGCGGAGAAAAGTCAGTTGCGCCCGGTCAGCTCAGGTGTTTAATTTGCACCAGTGCTTAGCAGGCATGTGAACACGGCAGGTCAAGTAGAGCTTCGGCTTCACAATCTGGATCTTCGGTGGCGATGATGTAAATTGCACCTCGGCGCAACAAAGGCATCTGAATCTGAGCAAAAACATTTCTTTATCTTCTTGTTTTGGGAAATATAACGATGTAAACTACACTTGGGCGCAACAAAATGCTGAATCTGAGTAGAAACATCATGCCTTGATCTGTAATTTCGGTGCGTAAACATTAATTATTTATATCTTAAAATCTCAATATTGACAAATACAAACATGTTGATACTTTTCTATTTAGTATGAAGAAAACGTCACATGTATCAAACTGTGTTTGTTCCGGTTTCCAACCGACACCGAGTACTCCCACACACTGCTACTCTTTTTGTGTTGGCGCAGGTCCATCTTTACACCACTCTTTTCACAAATCTTCAGCTGTGACACAGCCCTCACTCTTGGGCCAAACTGTCAAGTGGGCGATTTTGGTTTAACATCCCATACTCAACGCTAGCTCCACTCTTTTCACAAATCTTCAGGCTTGGGCCAAACTGTCTAGTGGGCAATTTTTGTTTAACATTCCATAATATGCCTAGCAACCCCTAGCTCCACTCTTCACAAATCTTCAGTCTGTGGCGCAGCCCTCACTCTGGAGCCAAAGTGTCCAGTGGACATGTTGATTCAACATTCCATACATTATGCTTTAATCGCTAGCTCAATTTGAACATTTTGGTTCAACAGTACATACATATCACGCCTAGCAACCGCTAGCTCAACGCCAGTGCCCAATTGCCAACTTCAACTATTGTTTTCTGTATTCGTGAAATGTGAACTGCCAAATCAATGACCACCGAGTCGCTTCCCAAACCACACTGGCTCTTTTGTTGTTCACAACCTTGTTGTAGTTGCCACCGAAAGCCGCGCCAACCATGTTTGCAGCAACGTTCTCAGCCCGCTCGCCCATCCCATTTGGCTTGTACACATGAGTTGACTTGGATGGCAACGGCGCAATCTGGTAGCGAAAGCTAACCGGGACAGGGTCTGCTGCTCCATCTGCGACCTCACATCGTCGGCCATCAATCACAGCCCGTCCTTCCTTCCTTCCTGCCTCCTGCCTTCCTTCCTAATTGTTTCTCCTTCAACAAGCACCAGAACAAGGGAACAGCATCGACGCAATACAGAAAAAGGACGCCAATCTCGCTTGGTGACAGCGTGAAATCGCTGGCTCAAAGAGTGATCCTCGATCGCCAGCTGACCGATGCCCTGCTCAGTCGCAAGCTTCCGCATGAACTGGCACATCGGGTACAAAGTCCTGTCGCTGCTCACATAGTTGAGGTCGGAGGTCAATCTCCATGGGATGGTCTCCTTCTCAGAAGAAGGATCACCTGAAAGCTAATGGGCGGCTTTCTTACTATAAATGAAGGTGGGCAAACCTATCCAATATATTCATTCGTTTACTGGTATTCCCTTTTGTTAGTATAAGAGAGATGAAAGGTTAAAGGGAATGAAAGTTGAAGGAAAGGGTGATTGCATATACGATGATCTCTCTCAAAAGACAAGTGCACCTCACCTAAAACAAGAAAAACATGCGTCACTACACAAACATACGAGGTTATTCGGCTCGATCAATTGGAGCCAAGGCACTGATGACCTTCTCTTCAAAGGCCCCAGTGCCAAACCCCAGGAGCTCTCCCGGCTCAAACGTCACAGATTGCTCGGACGTGTTTCCGATCCAAATGCTGAAGTCCTGGGCAATCACAATCGCAGGCCTCTTCTTGGTCATCTGCGTAGAGGCCCGCCTTCCACACCAACAAAACACTGGACACACGCGTCCCTGCTCCTTAAAAGAACAAAACAAGGACGCCCACCCCGCATCCCTGCTCTTAAAACACAAAACAAGGACGCTCACCCGAATCAACATTACAAGCAGCCTCTGTTCCGAGAACTGGTCATCTGCAATCCTTTCCACCTCGATTTCGCGGTTGACATCCAGCGGCTCAGCACCGTTGTCCAAAGTGAAATCGCACACACCTCCAACCCTGGCTGGGACGGGATTCGGCGCAGCTGGCTGGGTAGTTGCATGAGGAAACATCTCCAGGAATTCTTTCTTCAGCTTTGCAACCTCATCAAACTCCAAGGTGCCCTCCTCAAATCTTGAAGCGACGCACTCAGGAAATACGGGGCGTCCATTCCAAGCAAGAATCTGCAGATCTGGGGCCGCCTGCTCTGCAGCATCAGAACCTGGACGCTGCTTTGGTGGGCTCTCTTTGCTCACGTCCCAAGACTTGTAGATCATGTCTCTCACAGCGGCCAATGTATCCTTGAAAGAATCAGACGGGGCGAAGCCAAAGTAGCGCACATCAGTCTTCTGGCGCTCCAAAGAACGCTCCGTCATCGCTCTTGCAAACTCCACGAACCTACATGCATTCAATTTGTTGAATGGGAAAACAGCAACACAGCCAACAAACAACAGTCAACAAACACACTATTGAACGCCAAAAAACATAACAGCTACCAAAATAGAATTTTCAATGATTAGCAGCCTGTTTGGCAGCAGATCCACCAAGATCATGCGGTCAGCTGGCTGAATGTTCATGTTGTCCAACAAGCCATCGATCAGTTTGTCGTGGCACGTCAGCCCTTTCCTGCAGCACGGGTGGCCAAGCCCATGTAGTTGGATCTTTGGTTTGTCGAACAGCTAAAAAAGAAAAAGAAAACTTTACACGCGAATAATATCCGAGCAACTGCTCTACTCGGGCGCTTGCGCTGGGACGCTTGACGTCGTCGTAGCCTATGAAGTCTGCCACTCGAATCAGTGGGATCGGTCCCAGGCGACCCTCCTTCACGGCACTGCTATCCATCCAAGCGCAGTTGTCAAAGTACGCGTGAAAGACCGCCACCGCCAACTGCGACAAAGAACGGTTGTCCCTTGCAGAGCTGTCTGGTTTCTCGTAGCACAGTTGTATGTGGTGGTAGACGGTCAAGCCTGCGTTCAGCAACAGCAAGTCCAAGGCATGCCGGTGCTTGACCAGGGTGGCCTGGTTCGTTTGGGATTGGTAAACGGGATATTGCACCAGACCGCAATGGGTTGGAGACATAGCCAAGATCGTGGACAAGTGGTTAACCGCTCATTGAGGTAGGCACTGTTTGCTGGCCACACTGTGCAGTCCAATGAGGCGACCAGATACCTTAAACTTGAATGAAAGAGTGTCAAGGTAAAGACATGCGTCGGAAGCCTGGTCGAGAGGTTTCCCTAATTCAGAAAGCATGCTGAAGCCGACAAGTGGCTGCGTCCCTGAAATTCCACGAAATTGTTCTTTGAACTTCAAGAAGTCACCCATTGCTGCAGAGCTCTTGTGGCTGTCGGTCAGCTCCATCAAGCAAATGCGCTCCTGCGTGAACTTGTTGACATGTTCTTCACCCTTCCTCACACGTTGGCGCAATGAGTCAAGGTAAGGTACAAAAAGTTGGTGAAGTTATCAAACTAACCAAACAACCGCCACAAAATAAAGTCTTCCCTCTACAGACTACCAAAGTGCGCTTGGCGATCACGTATGTACTTGAGGTCCTTTGCAGTGTTTTGAGCTCGGGTGAGTTCATCAGAAATGCAAGACCTCAGCACCTGAAAGTCGCTTTGAATCTTCGCAACGATCTGTTTGGCATCTGCTGCCCTCGCTTCTTCTGCCAGTTTGGCCGTCTTCTCCTCCTTCGCCGCCTTGACAACCTGTTCCACTCGAGCCACATATGGCCTGCAGGGCAGTTGGCTTTAAGCGCTTTCGCGCATTAATTTACTTGCTAGTCAGTCCAATTTGCATTGGGCCAAAACCACAATGGCGACACTCAAACGCAGCACGCGCCCCCCCAAGCCTGAAAGCAGAAATTGAGTGCAGGTCAGAAGGAGGCACAGTGGTGCTCAGGCAGTGTTGTAGGTCGGGGTCTAACAAACCCTGCAAAAAACCACGCCGAAGTTCAGAACTGGCTTTCTGAAAGTCACTGGCCGGCGACGATTTCTGGAACTCTCGCAGGAAATGTAGAAAGAGACCACAAGCCTGGTGTCGCGACACAGCAACTTGGTAGGAGACAGCCTTGCGGAGCGCTGGATGGCTGGAGTCGTAGTCCATCATGATCCGCTCGACGAACAAGAGCGCCTAAGATAATGATTGGAAGAAAGGTCCTCTGAGTACAAAAATTCAACCATCCGAAAATCAATACACATATTAATTCATCTACTAAACCACCCTCAAGGCATTGCATAAAAGTCTGCAAACATTGAACTGCCGTGAATCCAATTCGCAATCGTCACCGTTTCTCAATTCTTCCTTCCATTGCTCGAAGGCAGCGACTCCAGAAGTCCATCCAGTGTTCAGCACGCCTTTTGCTATGCATTCGTGGGTGACAAATCTGGCCATGCCTCTCGTCTTGACAGCCCTTGAAAGCTCGCTCGTGACCCTCTCATCGATACGGGTCATCAAGTTGGACACGCTCTCGGACTCATAGCGGCCAATGCCAAATGCTCTTGCCACAGATGTGGCTTTCTCCCAGGCCTCCCGGCAACAAACGATTAACAATCCGAAAACCCTGTGTGAATCTGAAATCTTGGTGAAATGATGTTTTCAATGAGACTGTTTGACTGTCAGGCGCCTGGAACTCCTGCTCACATCCTGGTCCTCCGGCCTTCTGGAGGATCTGTATTTGTCTCCGGAAATGAAACGCGTTGGGAGATCGCCGCGTAGTTGAATGGATCATCGTGGCCCCTGAAATCAATTGAACTTTTCCGAAAAAGAGACATCACGCAACGCCACGAGAAAAAACAAGGTTCGTCGCCCTTCCAAAAAGGTTGCTGGCCCAGCCTCTGTTGGCGTGCACCTGCTGCTGGACGTCAGCGAAATGCTGGAAAGAGGCGTGGATGGTGCCCCAAGACTTCTGGCAGGCGACAAACAGCAGACTCTTTGACCGGAGGAGATGTATGTATGAATGGCGGGTGAATCTTCCAAATGCACGCCACTAGGAACTGAAAAGAAAGGACAAAAAAGGAAAGGCACAGCTTTCGCAAGAAAAACATTCACAGAAGATTGAACGAGAATGAACCGCGCAGGGGGCCTTGACCACTGGCGGGATGCAATCTGCAAGTTCGAGCTTCTTCACAGCCGCCAACACGACAAGAAGAGACACACTCCTCTTCCAGCCCTTCACGTAGCCGCGGCTGAAGGGCGCCAAGAGGTACCCGTCTGGCAAACACTTCTCTTTCAATCGCTTACTACATGTCCATATAATTGTCAGACAAGGAAACACCAGCAACAGCATTTCTTTGTTGATTTGGTCCCTACAAGGCGTCCTCCAAAGATTGGAGGGAGTTTGACCATCTCCTCCTCCAGGAAAGCATCAGGAATGCTGGTCGCAGAGATTTTCTCCCCACCGACTACGTTGCTGTCACTCAAAAACCTCAATGACAGACTTCAAAAAATAGAAGCACGGTCACTTCAACGGCTGCTCCTAGAAAATGCTTCAAAGAAACCCTTCACAACATATCAGTTCACATACGCTGACCAATTGATCTGGCTCAATGTATCCGCTGCAGCCACTGTCTGCGCGCCAGGCCAGCATCCATGGTCTTAGATACTGTGGGCCAGTGGTGTCCGTTGCGTAACGCAGCCTTGGCGCGGCCAACACGACGAGCGGAAAGGCAACGCTTAACACTTAACCAAGAGATGTCTTTTGACGCAAACAACTCCTCAGGACACTTGTTGAAATTGAGCTTTGAGGCCCCTTGACCTCTCTTGGAACACTTCAAGACTGAGCTTGCAGCTCGGGGCTGGGTGGGCAAAAGTCATCAATCCAACGCGCAAAGTCTAGCATCTCGTCCTCACTAGGAGCGCCGGCTTCGGAAAAACAAAATCTGCACCGAAAGTCAAGGCTACGCACCAACAAGACTCCTCGGTCTTGAACTCATTGGACAGCCACACGTCTGGGCCAACGGGCACCACTGACTGCTCCAACCTAAGTACAAGTCGCAAGGCCATGCAACAACGACCAGCTGGCAGGACACCAACAAGTTGTGTTTTGAACCCCTTGCGCCGTGAAACAATTCCACGATCTTCGCGATATGTGGGTGTTCAGCTGCAGCTGGCAAGCCAGCCTTGGACGCAAGCCTCTTAGGAGCCCGGTCCCCGCCCCCGCTGGTCTTGCGCTTGGAGCTCATTTCAGCAACAAGCCCTGCCCAGCGCAACTTGGTTATTGCTCTTGTACCATTGAGCCAGGCCGGTTTCATTTCCAAGTCCAAGTGACTGAACCGCCCAATCCATCAAAATTCCAACATGAAAAGAGCCGATGAATGTTGCGAATTTGCGACCGTTTTCAGATTTGCGACCGTTTCAGATCGCTTTGGACGCAAAACAATCCACCTTGTACCAGGCGGCCATTTGCGACCATTCTCAGGTCACTTTGGACGCAAAACTTGGCCCAAAGCCATTTTGAAGTCACTTTGCGACAAATTTCAAAAGACTTCGGACATTGGATTGAAATTGCCAGCTTAACCTTTTCAAGGTCCCAGGAAATCATAAACAGAATGCCTCGAAATCCCTGAACGGACTCAAACCTGCGGTGTCCACAAACGAGAAATTTGCGACCAAAACGAGGTCACTTTGGTCACAAACATTGGTTGGTATGCTTGCTGACTCAATGGCAGGTTGGTGAAGACTAAGCTTCCCGTGGATTCACCGTCTCATTTGCGACCATTCTGAGGTGACTTTGGTCGCAAAAACACCGCACCGCCGCCCATCAGACTTTGCGACTGCAGACTGCAGCCGTGTAAATGTCCATGCCGCAACCAAATTTTGAAGGGGGCTGAAACGTTTAGGGTTTAGGACGACGCTAAATGTTGGTCGATGTGAATAGGACGGGCGCAACTAGTTAGTGTTGAACATGTAGCTAGCAGCAATGCTCAGAAAAATTCATCAAGAACGTACATTCAATGTAGAAGTAGAAGGTCCAACTCATCAGCGCCGGCCTTTCCCCTTTCGTTTTCCTTTGCCCTTGGACTTGCCTTCGGCCCGCCCCAACCCTTTTCCAAATGGATTTGGAACAGAGGCATCACCAGCAGCAACTGCTGCCAGAGATACCCGTAAAGCCTCAGCCCACGGCACACCCATGCTCCACGCACGGGCTGCTGCCACGTGAGCAATCCGGCGCCGAGCACTCCTAATATATATATTCACTTGGTCCTTGTCCTTCGTTGCCCGAACCAGCCTCAAGACAGCAAGAACCAACCAATGAAGGCACTTGCATCCTTGAAAAAAGCTCATCCCACGACCTTCCACTAATCAGCCCAAACCCAGGCAAGGAACTGCAAAACGTTCGCTGGGATGTCAAAAGAATTTGGCTCCATGGACACTGTGTTCGAATGCAGCGCTACTGGGCCAGTCTTGATCATACACCTTAGTAATTTAATTAATTAGAGACTGGGCGGTGCGGCGGTGTTGGGACTTGAGCAAAGCTTTAAAAAGACTGCGCAACAAAAACTGTGGTAGCAAATTCCCGGCTTCAAAAGGGCTTGTTGTTCAACACTTGCTATACTACACAGACATCACAGTAGCTCTGCCAAGTTGCGCGGTGACATCCAACAGCGGCTTGGTTGGGAGGGCATCATTGAGCCAGCTTTCCAAGAAGTCGGCACACCGTGAAAGATTGTACAAAGGAAATCGCAACATGGGGATATACTTCTGGAGGTGGGAGCGCTGCTCCTCCGCGATTTCTCTTTTCTCTGCCAGGCCTCACTGAATTCAAGAGGCTAAGTTGTTTAGAGGTTGACAAACCTTCTAACTGCACAGAACGATTGTTTGGACCCCCCAACAGCACATTCACAGACTGGCCTTGCGGCAAACCCACACGCATCAGCTCCAACCCCACTTGCCGTGGGTAGAGCAGGACCGTCAGGTTGTAGCTTGGTGAATTCATCCACTGCTTGCACCTTCAGCGCACAAAGACAGCGACGTTTCACCCCTAAATATATGCCTAGTTCAGTCGCAGCACCATGACCAAATGACACCTGCTGGAATACATTGTTTGTGTCGCTCGGAATCATTGCCTCTACTGCGCAAAGAAAAAGCTTCACAGTCTCAAAGATGCCCCAAAAGTAACAGCCTCAGCACAACATCGTCTGGGTCGGGATCCGTTCTCCAAGGTCCCTTGGAAATCGATTCCAATGGCAATCCTGCAGAAGGCAATTTTGCATAATATCTAGGTTGCAACGTGGACTTCTAAATTTAGAAGCAATATGAAATGACTGATCCTGGTGTATGGAGGGGGAACCTAAGTTTGCCAGCAGCGACTAGCCTGTAGATTTGGTTCCCTTTTCAGGTTGAGTTTGCCAGTTCACGCGGGGCACCTTAAAGTGGAACAGTACAGCAACAAACGTGGACAGAAGGACTCTCTGAAGGGTTGATTTGCCTTACCACCCCGAAACCATGAAACAAAAAATGGAAAGCGGAGGCCCTTGTCCTGTGTCTCTGCGTCGAAGAATCTCCAAATGGTGCGGCCCACCAGGCCCAGTCAACCCTTGCAAGTGGAAAGGGATTGCAGCCCTGTGGAAGCCAGCCCTGAGCACTCGCAAAGACTTCACAATGTCCCTCTACCAGGTCCTTTGTTAAGTAACTTAGTCCCTACAAGAAAAGGAAAGGAAACCATTGACATCAGAAAGAACCAGGCGTCCAATCCCGTGGTTCATTTAGGAAGACGCAATGCCGCTCACCCTCGTACGGCATCTTTGCTTGGGACAGGAAACTGGCGATTGCTTGTTGGATGTCCTCAGGCGTTTGAAGGCCCCGACACTTCAACAAACTTTTAGAGAGTTGACTGAATACTTGGTCCACGTCCTCGTGTGTGTGTCCGCTCCTTAGGAACGAACAACACACACGATCCAAATTGTGGCCGAAAACTTGGCTGCAACACCAGCGAAGGCCAATGTTATTTTTGAATTCACGACAGGTATTATCATGTTGTAGGTAAAGCTGGGTGTTTGCCAAACACTGGCCTTGGCGCTCCAAAAGGGTGAGGACGTGAGATAACATCTCGCAAGAAAAGTTCCCGTCCTTCTTGGTATTTGGCAGCCCCACAGTAAACAACACAAACCTGCCATGACAGATGGCACACGCAACGTGTAACTTGACTTTTTGGAAGTTTGAGAACTCCTTTGTTTTGGTCAGGGGTGTCCGTGGCACTGCAAATTTCATTTGGTCCATGCCGTCTGCGTTATCGCAGACGGCGGAGCCGCGTAAGCGGCTCATTGCACGCCTCTCCCAGTACAGGGCCCGATCCATGTACTGTGCCTTTAAGTGATCATGGAAGTGATCAATCTGAGCTGTCCGTGCCTTTAAATGAGCTCCTAATCCCCGGATCATCGTCCGATGTCGGATGCAGGTGGTGCACTGGCTGTGTTGGCTCTCCCCTCTAAATTGCAAACACGCAAACTCACTCAGCCAGACCTCACACAACAAAATGCAAAAGCATCAACCGCACAATGGACCCTACGCTCAAATTCGGACCAGGCGCCCGCCAGAATGTCGGAAAGGAAGCGGGCCGGGCCAGTCCAGACACCCGGCAATATTGAACGTAGTACTCTTTCATAAAGCCACTGGGAAGCCATTTGACTTCCTTCGCCGCTTCACCGTGGGTCCGTTCCATGTTCATCTCCACAGACTTCTTCTTTTTGCGTGGTTTGGAAATCTTTCCAGCCGAGGCATCTGCTTGCCGTTTCAACTCAATGCTGTAAACGTCCACTGGCTGTGAAGACCCAAACACAGGAATCTCTTCAGGGTCCACCCCATCGTACAAAGTGTCACGCACGTCCGGTAAACTTTCTGCGATCGATTCGTAGACGTTTGTGAGATATGATATTACGTCTGCCCGCGCTGATGCAGCAGAAACACCAACCAGCGACATAGGCTTCTTGATGAAGCGCAAGTCAACAGGGGCGCTCTCTTTGCCATTCTCAGCAGCGTTGTACATCCTGGTCAGTCTCTTGGATCCTGAGGCATGCAAGGCCAGGCTTCACAGCCCCCGCGCAAGTGGGAAAAGGTTGCACTTTAGTCTTCAATTCAATGAACTGAAAACCGTCTTCTTAAAGAAAAACAAGACTCCCATCCCATGCAAAGACTTCCAAGCTCTGCGGCAAACAGTCTTATCTAGAATCGTCCAACTCAATCTGCCCTGTTGCGTCTCATGATCTCTGAGGATGTCGCGGACCCTGTCGAATGCCTTACGAGGGCAAAACAGTACAAAAGACAGACCCCAGGAAGTCCCACAGAAATCCCCAAAAACCCATAGTTTGGAGTGGGCCCAGCGGGACTTTCTGGGGTCTATTTTCATGGCCCAAACCAGGTGCGGAAATTTACCAACAAACGTTGAAACTTAACAAACACAGCACTGGAAGGCCAAAGAACGTAGCTGTCTTGGTCAAGTTTGTGCAAATCGAAGAAATGCTTTCGGTACTCCAACAATGGTTGAAAATCTTGATCTGCGACGAACTGCTGAAAGCAAATCTTTCGCTTGCAGCTGCATTCACGACCGATCAGGGAGCGAAGAGAGGATGATGGATCCTTCTGAGCAAGCTGTGCGTTAGCCAGTGTCTTCATCCGCCGGCGCTTTCTGGAAGGCTCCTTTGGAGCTGCAGGCAAGAAATCCTCCGCTGAGTCAGAGCTCAAGGCATCAACCGTGCAAGCTACTGGCATCGGGGCTGACGTCCGCCCGGCGGAACAAGACAGAAGCAGTTGAACCCCTACGTGGAAAATAGATCTATATAATATTTTACCTGCGTCAAACCAAATCCATTTATGTCCATATTTGACCAGAGACAGGAATTGGAAGTGATGTCCTTGCTGGTTTACAACTGTCTATATACTTGAAGCAAAAGGGTTTCACACTTATTGCCACAACTATGCCAAGCACATCCGCAAAGTGCGCCCCACACTTCACACCTGTCAACCTCTCTGTAGATACATATCAGCGCCCTGTACAACATTGCCAATAGCACATCAATGTAAAACATACTTGAACAGTTCTTCAGATCACCCATGACATGCTTGTGGCATGCGCCGAAGCTTTTGGCACCACATTGCACGCGTCACATCAAAATTTACGCCAAAACATGGCCTGTGCCAATCGAGGCCTGCAGTCTGCCAACCCCGGAAACTGTCAATTTCCTGCTAATCATTCGATCCGCTTCAAAAGCTCAGCAGCGCTCTGCGACGCAAACTCAACCGAAGTACTATCTGGATATCCTGCCGACGAAAAGATGAAGCGCCTACGACTATGTGTCCACTGCTCTACAGTGCTATTTCTTTGCTTCCTTGAAAAGCTAGTGCCAAAAAAAAATTTGCCTCCAAACAACAAAACAAGCTTCCGTTCCGGATGCAGCTATGGTGGCCACGGACAAGCGAGGCATATTTGATAACATTGATTTTGATTGCCGGAAAGCCGAGAGAATTCGTCAAGTCGGCAACTGGTTCGGCTAGATCGTCCAAGGTCAGGTCGGCAGAGGGGATGAGCAGCATGCACATACCCGAAGTGTAGAAAGCTTTGCATGAAAAGCACGCAACTTTGTCATCATTCGGAAAAACCGTTTCTTTGGAAATGCCCTCTGGCCAAGCAGAACTGTTGCGGGCCAAGATCCTGAACGAACACAAATGTTCTGGCGAATGTAAAAATCTTAAGCACAAATCAAAACTTCAAAGTGACAGCTTCAAAATGTTCTACATCGACTACTGTACTGTCTTGCTGCCACTGAACACAACACGGGCTGGGCGCGAGCCATCACCAGACAAGAAAGCGCAACGGCGAATGGATCTCTCCGGTATAGATCCTCCAAAGAACCGCAAAACGGAAACAAAGAACTTGGAAACTGAAACGGAGCCAAAGCATTCAATGAATGTCTCACTAACCTCCCATCCACCACATAATGCTGATGTTTGGTTATTGCATTGCAAACAAAGAAAACGTCCCACCAAAACGCAAGAGCCTTCATCGAGAGTCTCAAAAGTCAGGTAGCATGCATCAGGAGAGTCAAATGGCACGTCCTGTGAGAAAGAAAAGGTGAACCGTGTGGGAAGAGATGAAATCATACGCAACTACCGCCGGAATCAAGTCTCCTCCAAAGTAGAAGCTGGCACGACATAGAAGTCCTTGTCGTCCGGGTGGCCTGCGATGGCAAGCTTGCAAACCACAAGTTTGGTGGCTGGAGCAGTCCACCCACGCCTTGAACTGCCAACGACGAACTACTCTGCGCCATCGATGCCGCAAGCAAACGGACACTGGGGTAACTTTGCAGGAACTCACCTCAAAATGAGCCTTGAAAGTTGAAAACAGATCTGCTCTATGCTCATCCAGCTTTAGTTTACGTTACATTCTGGTGTTTCTTTTTCGTGACACGATTGTCATTGATTGTCCAATCACGATGCACCGGCTTTAACGAAAGCCGTAACGATGAATTGAGGCAGCTTCCCCAACCCTTTTAACTCTGAAAAAATCACAAGATTGAAAATTGGTCAACCTTCTTAACTGGCCAGCCTACTAGATTCTCCGTTCCACAGGGGCACAGGGTGCTGCCCAAGGTTGGTCAAGGGTCTCAGTGGCGCAAGTGCCTTGCCCCCAACTTCAACCGAACAAGAATCTCAAAAGCAAGGCTGGCCATTGCCGGGACAACGCAGTTCCCCAACATATGCAAGCGATCTCGGTCCGTTCCACCAACGGTGCGGCTCAACCATTGCTCTATTGGAACTTTGCTCGACTCGTTCCAGACTGGCTGCATGTGGTTGCGTAGCGGCTCCAATTGCAGATCCTGACGGGCCAGCGCAAGAGGTTGAAAGATCTGCGCGATGCAAACAGTGTGCTTTTAGTGTCTCACCAAAGAGCTAGCAAAAGAACAGAAAGCTGAAAGCGCAAACCTCCCATCGACCATCATTGGGATCGCAGCATAGTAGGAAAACCCTCGAGCGTCGTGCCTCAGAACTCAAGCTAGACATTCTGCTAAGTTGACCCTACTACAACTGAGGTCTAGACTTCCAACCCCACGTTGTCCAATCGCACGGTCGCCCAATGACATCGCAAACCTCTGCGGCCAGCCTCCTGCGAGAAGAGCACTTTGCAATGATTGCAGCTGCAACAAAAAAAGACACGCAAAGGCCAAAAGACTGACAAACCCAAGACTTCTGGAACGCAAGACAAAATCCTTGAACACAAAGCTGATCACCTCTCGCATTTCACGCTTGCATCCCAACAAAGCCACCACGTTCTCGAGCAGAAGGAAAGGCCTTCAAGTCAACCAGCTATCCAAACCAAGAGCACTGAAGTTGCGTCTTCAACGTGTCTGTCTGAGAACCGAACTTCCGGCCACCTCTCTTGCGCAACTCGTCGTGGGCTCGGAACGCGTGCCACGCGAGTTTGCTCCGTTCACCTCGCATGCCTTTTTGATACCCTGCGCAGGAGATGTCCTGCACAAACAGCAATGTCATATTTGTTCTGCAGCTAAATATGTTCACAGTCAATCAGTGAATACATTTGCGGCTAAACACGTTCACCGGGCCTGACAAGGGAACCCCCCTACCACCCCATCCGCTTCCACGCTGCGGAAGGAGGTGGTAGTCACATCTGTCTCAACAGAGCAAGGAGCCAGCGCACCGTCTTTCATCCGTCGATGAAGCACCCGCCGGCACGCTTCATCCTTCTCAACCTCGTGTCCAAAATAACCGAAAACACTGTTGCAATAACAGTACCTGAAAGAACTGGTAAGACTCAGGTATGGGCACACAGTACGGGCTTCATCCACCTTAAAACTTACTTGTCTGCACACTTAACAACTTAACAAATAACCTTGCGTTGCTTCAAGGCACAAACGCCTGACAACATGCGAAGCAGCAAGCTGCGTGGCACAAAAGCTTTGGTTTTCCATCACTGAGATTTGAAACTGCAATTTGTTACCCTTCGCAAAGCTCACTTCGTCGTCGCTTCACCTGCCATGGGCTCACGCTGGTGAGCAAGGTCATTTTCCAAAAAAGGACACTGCATCATCGCTTGCGGTATGTAAGGCGCCTGGTTTGCATCAACGACCTCTGACTCTCCGGCTCTTTGCTCCAAGGCTTCTTCCCAGCCCCTGGTGTAGTAGCTCCAGGTCCACCTCACAACCAGTGCCCGGATTCATTGTATGCAACAAGTCATTGTTTCAACCCTGGTTTGGGTTTCAGTCCAAAACATTGCATGACATTGGAGAACACACATTGACACTGAGAGGGGAGCAACTTGCCGCCCCACTTGCACGAGACTGGCGTTCCATGCGGCAACCTCCACACTGACTGTTGAAAGGCGCAAAATTTGGGAGAATACAGCCCACCCCAGTGCCAGCCTGATCTGGTTCACACCCACACAGCGGATCACGGCAAGCTTCAGAGAGGGATTGCACCCACTGGGCGCAAGATGGGTTGATGACATGGCCGCGCCGGCAACTTGAACTCCGCAAAGCAAACTTGCTATCAACAAGGACGTGTCCACAAATTTGCTATCAATAAGGATGAGACGAAATCTATGTTGCAAACATCTCACCATGAAACATTTCTTGGGCCCGGAAAGTAATACGCAGGCAACAGGTGACAATTCATTGGCATTATGTAAATGAGGAGCAAACAGTGAGAGGCAAACGCTTGCGATCTGAGCGCAAGGCTTGTCCAGTCCCAATTCTAATCCGGCCACACCGGTAAAGAGACTGATCACCCACGCCCTGTCCTGCCAATCCAACGCATTCTAACGCCCAACACACAATCATTAACACGTATTGAGTCTTGAACTTGGTCAACTGATCAAAGTGGCCTGGCAGTCACGATGGGGATATTGACGTCGAAAGGACTCCATGTCCACCACAGTGGTCTCACTCGTCCAATTGGCCGGGAAGCCTGCCAGAAACGATGGGTCTAAAGCTTTCAATTTGAATGTGAAATCAAGGAAATGAAATTTATATAGATCCATCTGGCACCAAGCCTGACATATATTCGCCGGCTCTTGGAGTGACATATTTTCCGGGCTCCGAGTTGGTGCGCTTCAGCGCGTCAACATACGCTTCAGAAAATTTCACCTGGTTTGCGAAGTCCTGAGATGCTCGGCGGTCGGCATCGCTTGTTGACAAACTATTATGAAGATTGAGGCTAGAGCGCTGATCGCCCTTTCACTTGGATGTTGATCTGCAGCTGTGGTGGTGCCGCTGAAGCAGCCTAGATAGCCGGCAACATGAAACGTGCTAAAGGTTGATTCCTTGGTCGCAATGCTCAGGCAATTGCGAATGCTGCTCCACGATTGAAAACGTTTCCTCCCTCGGAAGATCTTGGTACCATCGTCCTTGTGGGTCAACTTGGAATGGTTCACCTGATTCACCAAATTGCCAGAAATGCTGGAAGCCAATACCTTTCAAAGGACATTGTTGAAATTCCACGTCACAAACAAAAGTGGAAATGAGCCCCCAACCACTGTCAGAGACAACGGCGCTGTCTTGGGCAATTTGAGGACGTACGGGATGATCAATGGCCCAGCTCTGAACCGGCCGTTGGAAATTCCAAACGCAGGCAGGGGTTTGGAGGCGCTAGCAGGACTGAACTTCGAGGAGGAAAACTTCCCATTCGGATCTTTGGGTTTCAAAGCCGGCTTGTGGACTTTCTTGGCGCCTGGCCTCTTCATGGCGCCTGGCCTCTTC